CGCATATACGATTCATGATATGACTGTATTTACAATTAAAGGAAGTAAGTTGTTAATTTAATTTTGTATCGTTGTTTTTTTTAGTTATTTTGATTGATCTTAACTGTTCATATGGATTCGTTCACTAAGTTATGCAAAATTTATATTGCAGTAATGCTTTTGGGGTATTGTATTGAGTTTTTCGTGAATATTGTGAAGATCTTTGCAATAATGGGTAATAATCGTTTTTGTATCTCAAATGAAAGTAGTGAAGATAATGATTTTTTGCTCTATTTAATTATCATTGTGCATAACAGAGGAGAATCCTAAATGCCATCAATATTTCCGTATATTCAGTTGTGCGAAACGAGCGTCTTAGTTTACTCGTCCCGTATAAAATGCAGCAAAATTGAAGTGAAGTTTAATTTCTGGGGTTTAGTACAAATTCTGATTGAAAGATTGGAATTGTTGCTGATGTGAAGTGGATCGATTGCCTTTTCAGAAGAAGTTTGTCTGACGCATTTGAATAAAAATGTATCGCCATTAGGCAATGTCACCGTTGAACTGCCGGAAACGATCTGTGAAATTTGTGTTTGTGGAAAGAAGGTTTTATTTTATTTAACTGGAGGATTGTTCGCACTATGTGAGTTTATGTATATATTTGATTCAGTTTCTTAACATTAATTACGTCCGATATTCGCGACCAAGCGAAGTTTGAGATTTATTTTATAGTGTCACTAGTTTTGGTGGAATAAATTTACTTGCGTGAATAGGAACGGTTTTAAATTTTAAGCTGATAATTTTGAGGTACTCTTGGATTTTTTAACGAATGAATATAAATTCGTGGGAATGTTTTGAAAAGAAACTTTCAAAGAAGCAACATGATTCAAAGAACCTTGAAACTTGAGAATTAAATTGATTCAATTACGTAAATTCATTTGTTTAGTGAATTGAAGTTTTTTCAGTTGATTCAATTTCATTTCAGATGAATTTGTTGACGATGGAAAACTGACACAACGAGAGGTGTTCAGTGGAAATGATGTTGGTTATTTATCGCCGCATAGTGAGGTGCCCGTATTTTGTTTGACTTATGATGGTGAGAATCATTTTAGCGCATTAAGTGCATATCCTGAGTATAGACTGATATCTGTCGAAATGGCTTCGGATGGGTTGAAGAGGTAAGGTGACATTTTATTGTGTGAATGTTATGTTTGGATTGTTGAGATAATGGTGTAATTTGCTGTGTGATAATAATGAAGTGCAGAATCTGCATCTGTAATTTTCAAAGTAAAATTTAATCTATTTAGCCGTTCCGTTCGCTCGGAACTGAGGTGCAATCAAAGGGATCAGATTGATATTGAAATTTAGGTTTAGATTTTGGTTATAGATTGCATACTGAACATAAGGCATATTGCGTGAGCGATTCGTAATGGTCTCAAAAAAAAAATTCGTTTAAGAATTCGAAATTTTTTCTTCCAGCAAAGACGTATGTGAAGCATCGCAAGCGTTGTGTTATCAGATACCGACATCTGCGAATGGTATTTTGATGGAAGCAATAAGTGGAGAGTGGATTCATGTGAAGGATTTTGAAGAATTTGGCGATGAAATGGTTCATTTCATTGACTTTGAACGTCTTTATAACACGAAAATTTTCGATTGCCAATATAATAAAGAGCTGGTTCGTTGGTTTCTTTGTTTGTTTTTGAGTGTTTTCACTTATTCTTCTTTGCTTATTCATTTGTGTAGCTGTGAAAATTGTATTATTTGAGATGATTGTATTTTTTATGGTCATTAATTTGTTTGCCTTAAAAATTAGTATTGCGATGGATATTTGTTAGTAAGTGAAATATTTTCA